TTTCGAGCTGTCGGTGTATTTTATGGTCGTTCGAGGCGGTAAACGTCGCTCCAGGCCCAAAAGGGCCATTTTGTACCAGAGGTCAGTTCCGGCCGGGCGTTCTGCAAAGCTGGTAGGCAGACCGGCCAATCAGCCCGTTTCTCGCTGACTGTCGACGAATGTGAGGACCGTTCGTTGATGCGAAATCGAAGTTGCCGGCGAGGTACGAGGACAGCGAAGACTTCCGGCCGGATGGCCGGCCTGCCGGATTGGCTGACAGAGACGGAGGCACTTTCGAGTGGCGTACCTGCCAGCCTCACTTGTGAGTTCTTTCGCTGCGCATTAGTGCAGCCCAATCGTCAGAACGTCATAAGGACCAACAGCACAAAAACGTCGCCATTATGCGGACGGTGTAAAGAGGCTTTTAAAACGCTTACTCTGCCACCACAGTCCACAGCCGAGCGGACAGCTGTCGCCGTTCAAGCGTTGGTTCTGGTTGCCTTTCCGCCTTCGCCTGTCATTCACTCGTCCTCTAGGTGACTTGTTGCACATTTTCATTGTAAGCCAGCCAGAGAGCAAGCTCCGTAACCCGCAGCACAGCTGTGCTTCCTACCACCGTGGCTCGACGTCGGTCTTCGGCCAAACACCGGTAAACGTGTACGATTTTACGACGGTTTGATCTGCTGGCGAGTTTTGTCACGTATTCCAGATTTTTGATGCTGCTTCGTGCTAAACTATTTACGTTCTGTACTTTCGGTGTATTGTCCAACATTATCAGGCGCTCTGTGTACTCTCTGCTCTCTGTGCAGTAGTGAAGTACTGTAGAAAATAACGCCTAACGACTCGACGAGTACGGTCTCCTACTGGAAGCAGTCCGTGAAGCATTGCTTGGACTGCGCTGATGACACTTCGATTACCCTATTGGGTGACAGTGACGAGGTCGTTCGCTGTCCAACTGAAGCGATGCGTATGGCTGCCGCAGAAATGAGCCAGCAGATGAACCCAACGAAGAAAAAGTGACAAGCAGTCCAAGCGACACAGTACAATACAGTACAGTTCTACGGCTTGAAATTCCAGAAGGCGCCGTCTTCCACGACGGTAACCGTGATCGAGACCTAAACTGAATGCTACAGTGGCTTGTTTCGATTTCAACAGCGGTGGGAAGCTGTGTCACGAAGTAGAATAGCACTTTGTACCAAGATCGATGTTTACCGATCTGTCATAAAGTATGTGTCGCCGTACGGACTGGAATCTGCGACGTTCAAACAGCTCACGAACACCAAGCGAAGTGACTCCAACAGCTCTGGGTGTGACAGCCGGTGATGGTCAAGAGTTACGACCGGATCAAGAACGACCATGAGTTTATCATAGCTTAACTTCATCATCTTCGGCTTCATCTTCCATGGCCGCTTCTGTTTTGGG